CTAGCCCAAGGTCACCCGGCAAACTTCCAAGGCTGAGTCAGGATTCAAACCGGAGTCTCTCAGGTCTCATCAGACACTCTAGCCGCTATGAAACTCTGTCTCTCAGAATGCCAGTTACAACTGGATCTTGGCTTTCACTGCAAAAATTACCATTACTGAAGAAGCAAGCCACCATTCAGTTTTTCTTTCTTTCTTTTTTCCCCAAATAAATTTTATTTAATTTCAAAATATCAACACACAGCAATATGACGATACAATTACAAAAAAGGGGGGGCAAGTAACACAAGGATTAACCCATAACGTTCCAAGCAGTATCCTGTTAACAAGCAACTTAACATCGGGGCACATACTACCATACGTACTACCATACGTACTACCAAAGAGTGATTAATACTTGGAATTCACTGCCACAGGAAGTGGTGGCGGCTGCAAGCATGGACGGCTTCAAAAGGGAATTAGATAGGCATATGGAGCAGAGGTCCATCAGTGGCTATTAGCCACAAGGTATAGATAGGGACTCTGGGGCAAGTGATGCTCTGTCATCTTGGTGCTTGGGGGGGGGGTCAACAGTGGGAGGACTTCTAATGTCCTGGCCCCACTGGTGGACCTCCTGACCATTGTGTGATACAGAGTGTTGGACTGGATGGGCCTTTGGCTTGATCCAACATTGGCATCTCTTATGTTCTTATGTTCATACTTGGTGGGAATGTCCTGTTATTTCAAATTTTGGGGATGCAATTTTAACAGAGATAAAAACAGGGTTTTTTTCCCTTTCTTCTTTTAAAGAACAGCTAGTCTCTTCAGCATTTCCAATGGTTGAAAAAAACAACAGCGAGCAAAGCAGTAGCTCATATATGGCCCTCTCCCAAGTGCACCGAGCGAAGATCATGAAAAGCAAACATTTCTACACAAATTGACACTTGAACATTGACCAGTTATCTTCCGTAGGCTAAGAGCCACAGAGCTGCACGTGCTTGGTTTTTATCTAAGTGTGTTAATCTAAGCTGCCTAAATGTATCCAACGATAAACTAAGGACAAACAAGCACTCCGTTGCAAAACAAGAACTGCTTCCAACCCAACCAGTGCAAGTAGACATCATCACCCCATGATGATGACAAGTTATTATTGGGAATAATTTTGTGCAAAGGAATATTGAAAACAGATCAGCCAATATCATAATGCCCCTATATAAATCAATGGTGCGACCTCATTTGGAATACTGTGTGCAATTCTGGTCACCACACCTTAAAAAGGATATTATAGCTTTGGAAAAAGTGCAGAAAAGGGCAACTCGAATGATAGAAGGGTTGGAACACTTTCCCTATGAGGAAAGGTTAAGGCGCTTAGGGCTCTTTAGCTTGGAGAAACGACGACTGAGGGGTGACATGATTGAGGTTTATAAGATTATGCATGGGATAGAGCAGGTAGAGAAAGAGGTACTTTTCTCCCTTTCTCACAATACAAGAACTTGTGGGCACCTCGTGAAATTGTTGAGCAATCGGGTTAGAACGGATAAAAGGAAGTACTTCTTCACCCAAAGAGTGATTCACACATGGAATTCACCGCCACAGGAAGTGGTGGCGGCTACAAGCATGGACGGCTTCAAAAGGGAACTGGTCCTGGATAAATGGAGCAGAGGTCCATCAGTGGCTATTAGCCACAAGGTATAGATAGGGACTCTGGGGCAAGTGATGCTCTGTCATCTTGGTGCTTGGGTGGGTCAACAGTGGGAGGGAGTCTAATGTCCTGGCCCCACTGGTGGACCTTCTGATGGCACTGGTATTTCTGGCCACTGTGTGATACAGAATGTTGGACTGGATGGGCCTTTGACCTGATCCTACATTGGCATCTCTTATGTTCTTATGTTAATACTCTTTGCACAGACAGGGATATGTCGGCAGTACTTTGCACAGACAGGGAAATGTTTCCAGTATGCCTGCCTCTGTACATACCTTGTGGAAATACTTTTTCTGTGGTGGAATTTGCAGTTCACAAATAAATGACATGCCTTGTGCTGGGAGCCGAGCATAAGAAGGAGCAGGGATTCAAGAGCTCCTCATTTAGACTTCCGGTCTGGCTCCCGCGAAAGGCGGACGCATCCTTGGGTTGCTCCCGAGGGGCGTCTCGCCCGCCCGCGGTGGAGGAGGGAATCCGCGCGAGCGGAGACCCGAACGAGCCCCTCAGGATGTGAGGAGCTCGGATCCGGGGCGCTTTAGGGCGCTCGAGGGGGGAGTCTCGCTCTCAGCCGAGAGGTTGGAGACGAGGCGCCCGCCATGCCCTGCCCCTTTGGACCTTGCTGCGTGAGCGATCCCGTTTTACGGGGTTTAGCGGAGCCACCAGACGTCACCGAGTGATAAAGCGATCATCCGAAAAAGTTGAAAAAGAAAAGATCGGCCTAACTGTGAGTTGTCAAAATGCAAAGAAAAAGATCTAAAACCGCTTCCCCCCCACCCAGCGAAAAAGGCGAGGAGGTTAACCCTCTAACTGCATAAGCGAAAAAGAAAAGGAGGGGGGGAATGGACTGAGCGAACAGTGATGTTTTCCCTTGATGTATTTGAAATAAAGCGAGAGAAAGTTTTGTCTCTCTGGAGCACAATTTAAGAACTTTCTAAAAGTAAACAAAAAAGAAAAGATGTCGGAGCTGGGCAAAAACGAGCGGAAGGGAGGGACTTCCGTCTGGGCGTTTGCTTGTGTGTGAGAGCCGGCTGTTTAGTGTTTTGGATTGTTTATGGTTGTGAATCCGACGGGAGTTCTGTAAAATGGAAAAGTTTGAACTGTGACAGCGAGGAGTGCCTGGCAAGCGCTTATATACGTCCAGTTTCGAGGAGGACCCAATAGAGAGTTTGGGAGCGGAAATAAAAGCGAAATGAAATTAATACCATTCTCAAAGTTGGGGACCTCCAAGGCATGAAAGGAAGAGGATTTATAGTGCATGAACTGAGTATGTTAACAGCAACCCGAAGGAGGATTTAACAAGCCGGAAGTAGAAGACAACAGAGGAAGCCCCTGCACGTCAGCGATAGTAAAAGTGCCCAACACGCAAAGAAGCGGTTCTGACTGTGTCCAGAAGAGATTTTTCTTTTTTTATTAACAGAAACTCAAGGGAACTCAAGGGAACATTAACAGAAATTCAAGGGAACATTACTAATATATTAACAGAGAATTATATGTGACTGAACTAAGAAAAGAAGTTTGACAACACACAGAAGAAGCCCAAGAAGATTAATTGGACATTACTAACAGTTTAATTTACCAGTTTATATATCACTCAGCTTTCTCTTTCTCCCGCTGTCTACCCTTCCCTTTTTTTTTCTTTTAAGCGAAATACCTCCCCTTTTTAGGGGAGCTAATAAAATCTTTACAAAAAAAAAAAAAAAAAAAGAGCTCCTCATTTAAAATCTCACCTCTTCAATGAACTAGACAGGTGGCTAGACAGATAGACAGGTGGTTGTATATCTATATATCCATCCATCCATCATCTATGGTGTTGTTGGACTAGAGTTGTCAGGTCTCCCCTGGCCACCAGTGGGCAGATGGGGGCAGGACACAAGCTTAAATCCCTCCCCATCTTGACAGTGCAGTCCTAAGTAGAGTCGCATCCTTCTGAAGTCAGCGGGCTTAGAAAGGTGTTGCTGGATTTAGGAATGCACTGGGACGTCACAGAATGAGAACACTTACTTCTTCGGGGGTCGTCTACACTCATTGCCTCTCACTCACTTTAATGCTTGAATCTTTCAATTTCCAATGACTTCTACCCCTTCCTCTTCCCTCTAGCCTGCTGTTACAGTCACACTGACTATAGTGACACACCAAACCACACAAGCTGGCTAGGAGCTTCGTCTTCCACACAAAGACTAAGCCGACACTACTGTTAATGTTGTGAATACTGCTGGGTTTCCGCAACATAGGTCATGTGGAAGAGCATTCAAAGGGCTTTTTAAAAAATACAGCAGTAGGCCAGTAAGGTGAACCCGTATGGGCAGTGATCCTGTAACTGTGCATATGAGAAAATCAAATACGTCTGCTGCACACACAAAGTCAATTAGAACAATGTCGTTTACTCAAAAGTGCAACTCATAAACAGCCACTGAAGTAACAGATGGTAACTCTACTAAAAGTGGGGGCTTACACAATGGAAGACACCCCCATAAAAGAACATGCCTGCATTTAAAAAAAAAAAAACCTAGCATGCCAGGAAGAAAACTAGGCAAGACACACTAACATCTAATTTTCTAAGTGCAGGAAACTGGATTTATATGGAGATACAGTGTGACTTCCCACGTATGGTCTGAAGGACAAGAACATGCCGTCGAGTCACAGCTGACTTATGGCAACCCCGCAGGGTCTCCAAGGCAAGAGATGCACAGGGGTGGTTTGCCATTACCTGCCTCTGCATAGCAAGCCCTGGACTTTCTTGCAGGCATCCTATTGGAGTACTGAGCCTGCTAAGCCCCAAACTCGGACAAGCCCAGGCCAAGCTGGGCTATCCAGACTGGCTCGGGTTTAAAATCACTGCTGCTACTTTTGACAACAAGGCCTCAGATGTTCATGTGACCCGTACATTTAAGCTACACACTGTGAACCTCTTTGCACAGTCCCAGCTGAAGATGTTCCTCCCCATTGATGGGATTTTGCTGATAGAAGCCCCTGTGGAAATGTGCATTTCCTAGTTGCTGCCACCCATCAAATCTCTCCTTCTGATCTGAGGGAGCTTTAATACATCATCTGAAGTTAGTTCTCACTATCATAAGGTCAACGACTAAATTATTCCTCTGTTCCCAGGCATTTAAGGAACTGATGTGTTTCACTTAGTGGTAGAGAGACACTTGATCAAGTGATGGTTTATCTTCTTTTTTGCTTCTTCTTCTCAGAAGACCGAGGGTGCAATCTGACACCAGAACCGAAATAAACTTGCACGCCTGATCAACATTCCATTTAGGGTTGACAACTCTGACATGGGAAATTCTGGGAACTCTGAGGAAGGGGGAGTTTGGGGAGGGGAAAGGGTGCTGCAGGGACGCCATGTCCTCCAAAGCTGCCTTCTTATTCCAGAACTCCAGATCCCACCTTGAGGTTGGTAAACCTAGTTCTGTTTAAAAGATGAGACTTTAAGAACATGTCTTGAGATTTTCCCCTCCCTCTCTCCTTTTACTGTTGAAAGTGACTCTAAGGATCCCAAAATAGAGGAAGGTTTTTACTTTAGCACGTTGTAACCCTGGCGAAATAACTCTATTAACTCAAGATTATAATAATTGCTGTGTTCTGTTTTAATGGTTGTATTTTAAAGGTCCAGTTGACTGTGCAATATTTTTAACATAGTTTTAAAAGATTGTAAAACAGCCTAATGAAGAATGCTGGAGAACTCAAAAGCTCTCACCCTGTTTTAAAGGTAGAGATTCCCTTGCTCAAAAGCCAGTCGAATCCGACTCTAGGGTTGTGGTGCTCATTTCCATTTCAAAGCCGAAGAGCCAGCGCTGCCCGAAGACGTTTCCGTGGTCATGTGGCCGGCATGACTAAACACCAAGGTGCACGGAACGCTGTTACCTTCCCACCGAAGTGGTACCTATTTATCTACTTGCAATTTCTTGCTTTCGAACTGCTAGGTTGGCAGTTCTTTTTATCTTGTATTAAATGGCTTTTTGGAATTGGAACAGTGCAGCCACCTCCATTTTTTGCCCTCTTACAAATATTGCACTTTGTGGGGAAACGATGAGGGTTGCTGGCTCTGGGTTGGGAAATACCTGGAGATTTAGGGGCTGGAGCCTGAGGAAGTCAGGGCTTGGGGAGGGGAGGGACTTCAAGGGGGTATAACGCCACAGAGTCCACTTTCCAAAGTGGTCATTTTTTCCAGGGGAAATGATCTCTCCCGACTGGGGATTAATTGTAATTCTGCTAGATCACAAGGCTCCACCTGGAGGTTGGCAACTCCAACTATTGTCCACAAAAAACCTCAGAATCAGGCAGACTACCACTGGCCGGCAACACATTTTTAAAAACCTGCAAACTGAGAGAGTACAGCCAAAGAAGAGGAGCTCGTTTTTATACCCCACTTTCCACTTCCCGAAGGAGTCTGAGCGTCTTACAATCTCCTTCCCTTCCTCTCCCCACAACAGCTGTGACTGGCTCAACGTCACCCAGCCGGCTGCATGTGGAAAAGTGGCGAATCAAAGCGGTTCTCCAGACTGGAGTCCGCCAGTCTTAAGCACTGCACTACCAGCTAGCTTTACGAGCTTCCAGGTGGGGCCTGAAGTTCTCCCGATATTGCAGCTGAGGGTGGACTCTAAATGGTATTATACTCTGCTGACGTCACTCTCCTCCCCAAACTAGGCTCCACCACCAAGTCTCCAGGAATCTCCTAACCTGGGATTGGTAACTTTACGGGCGTGAATTTATTTAAAAACAAAACATTTATTTACTTCATTTATACCCCTCCTTTCTCCCCAATTGGGACCCAAAGCAGTTTACGCGGTTCTCCCCACCGACATTTTATCCTCACAACAGCCCTGTAAGGTAGGCTAGGATGAGAACGTGTAACTAGCGCACCAGGACGCCCAGCAACCGGGGATTTCAACGTGGGCCTCCCCCATCCCAATCCGACGCTGTAACCCCTCCACCGCGTGGAAGACTCCCGCAGCTGACCCCGCAAGCCACGCACACCGCGCAGCCTCCCTGCAGCTGCTCCTAACGGCGGGGAATGCGTGGCTTTTGTTTTCGGTTAGGCGTTAGGCCTCCACCCACCCCGGGTTGCCATGGAGCCAGCTCGAAGCCACGCCTCCCTCGGCGGCACGGGCCACCCCCCGTCTCGCTTCGCCCGCTTCCTTTCCGCCGAGGCAGGCGGGTGACGCAGCCCCGCCTCTTGCCTCGCGCGGTGGCTCCTCCCCCTCGGTCTCTACGGCCGTTGGCCCCTCCGCCGGCTCCGCCTCTGCGCCGCAGGCCGGGCCTTGA